TATTGCTTATTGTACCCTATGACTATCATTAAGTATTGCATCTTCAGTTTCTTGACGAATGTTATCTTTTCTTTTTATGTACACTGAGAGCATTTGCACCAAGACAAATTCCTTGTGTGTCCAATCACACTTTGCCAATAAAGAATTCTATTCTATTCCTTCCTTCCTTCCTTCCTCTCCTTCCCTCCTGTCCTTCCTTCCTTCCTTCCTCTTTCTCTCCCTTCCTTCCTCTATTTCTTTTCCTTCCTTCCGTTTCCTTCCTTCCTTTCTCTCCTTCCCTCCTGTCCTTTTTTCCTTCCTCTCTTTCTCCCTCTTTTCCTCCCTCCCTCCCTCCTTCCCTTCCTTCCAACAAGCCCAGGTCAAACTTTGCAGCAGCGAGAGAGGGTCTTGCCGGAGGTTACCTTCCCCACCTGATCCTCCTACCTGGAAATGCTGGGGCGGGGTGGGGGGAGAGAGAGAGGGGGGGTGTCAAGCTCACCCTTGTGGCCTGGGAGATTCCTCCTCACAAGTAACCCCAGGCCTGCCTCTCGGACTGCCTCCCTTGGCAACGGGAGGAGCCCCGGGGCCGGAGATCTGACTTCATCCCACTCTGGCAAGACCCGCTGATCAAACTAGGGTAAGCAGTCAATGCAGGGAGGGGACAGAACTTCCCAGCAGATGGATCCTTGTGTGGGTGGGAAAACAATTAAAATAAAATACAACAGCAAACTCCCCCATACACACACACACACAAACACACACAAATACACAAACACAGGTACCCACTGAACTCCACCTCCCTCCCTGTCCTCACCTTGCAGCTGGGCGGACAGGGCTTCCTGTTGCTGTTTGAATTTGGAGGCTGAGCCTTCGGCAGCCTTCACCTTTTGCTGGAGGTGGTTGTAGAGAAGAACTCCAGAGCCCAGGCAGGCGAGAGCCAAGAGGCAAAACCCGGTTTGCAAAAGACTTTTCTGCCGTCTGATGCAAATGGCAGTGCCCATCTTGGAAACCACGTCGGGGCTTTTCTTCCTCTCCGCTTCTCCTTTTTCTTCTTTCTTCTTCTTTCTCAGTTGTTGTTATCTTTTTTGTTTGTTTTGTTTTGTTTTGTTTTGTTTTTACCAGTCTGCCACCTGGTTGAAATCAGGCACGCGAGATGTTCTTTTTCCTTAAGCTTCGGGGTTGGAAGGAAAAAAATAATAATTACTTGTTCAGCCGTCCTCCTGGGTTGGCAATTTCTGATCCCCTGCTCGGAGGAGAAAGGAAAAAGGCATTTGCTGGCTTCAATAAAAAAAAACCAAAAATGTGTGTCTTGCCAATTTTTGGAGTTTCTTAAAAAAAAAAAAAACAGAAAAAATGGAAGAAACTTCTTTTTTTTTTCTCTTCTAAAGTATTGGCCTCTTGTCTGGGGTATTTTTTTCCCTCTTGCTCACCCTGGCACACAGATCCAGGTGTGCAAATAAAACTCAAGAAACTTTGGGGCTGCGGAAGAGGATTTTCTTTCTTTCTTTCTTTTTTTAAGTCCGAACAAAGCTAGCAAATCGGGAGGGCGAAAGTTTCTTGACTGCTGGGATCCCGGTCACCCATTCCCATAGCGATCCTTTCCGTTGAGAGAAGCAGGAAGAACAAAATAAATTGCATTTAGAAAGGGGTTGAGAGAGGCTGTTCAGTCTTCTCCGCCAGTTTCACTTCAGTTTGCAACAGGAGAAAAGG